ATGTGATATATGATGTATATATAATCATGACTATAATATCCATCTTGAAAATAGTATGTAAAGTGTAAGCAGTGACATATGCTTTTATGGGTAATGGTCCACACACTATACAAATAAACAGGCAGAAAACGTGAAGTGGACCTGCCTGGCAACTATCAATAAAAAACTATTCTTACTATTGAATAGCTTTTTTTATTGTTGTTTATGTTACATTTGTCTTTTTAGAAATTATCTCTTTTTATCTTTGTATTGTGTGTATATTAGAGGAAAGAGGATTAGAGGGTTATAAGAGGAACCAGAGGGGGCAACATCACAGAAACTTCATAATAAGTGAACGGTGAGTTCTATCTATCTATCTATCTATCTATCTATCTATCTATCTATCTATCTATCTATCTATCTATCTATCTATCTATCTATCTATCTATCTGTCTTTCTATCGATCTGTCTGTCTATCTATCTCTCCCCTCTGCCTTGTATATCTGTGGCTCCCTCCAGTGTCATGCACTCGCTGCCCCTTATAATGATGGCTGGGTATTGCCTTTTCCCTCTCTCGCTGTGTGTTCCTGTCGGATAGCCGGCTACACGGACTGGGGTCTCCAGTGGTTTGGGGGGTGATGTTTGTCAGCACAGTAGACGTGCTCAGGCTCTTTCCATGAGTGTGGGCTGGGACAGCAGAGGTCACATCCACAGTGACTGGGTTCAGAGCAAGGAGCTCTGTGGATTGGAGTGCAGGCTGCTGTATCCAAATATACACTATTCCTGTGCAGCCTGGCATGAAGATTAATTTCAGGAATTAGTTTTCAGTGATTAGCATACTATCCAACAACATATTGTACACATACAGCATGAGGTCCCATTAGGTAATTAGTATAATTGTTGTTGGTCTTGCTGGATAATTAGCGGGTGCAAGGTCTTCAGTTCTGTATTGCAATGCAACCAGAGAGCAAAAGGGCAATTGGGAAAGATTACACAAACAAATATTGCCGCAGAACAACAGTGCAAGTGTTATTGTTACACGAGCAGGGAACGCTATGGTCTGCTCCTTGATTATTAGTCTAAAGCCACATAAATAAAGTTTATAATGCATGATTTTCACTTTTACTTTATATACAATATATATTTTTAGATTGTTACATTTTCCAATATTCTTTCATCTGCACGGTCACAGTCAGTTATTTAATAAAAAAATGGATTTAGGAAATCTCCCTCTCTCTGTCTCTCATTCTCTCTCACTATATATATATTTAGATATATATCTATATATATCTATATAGATATATATAGATATATATCTATATATCTATATAGATATATATAGATATATATCTATATCTATATAGATATCTATATAGATATCTAGATTTAAAAGTCAACAAAGCAAGAAAGAAACATTATACTATTTATTCTAACATTAATGGTGTTCTTTCGTATTCTTCATAGAATTGTTATGTAATTCGTTTAATTCGTTCATAGAATTGTCTTTCAATTCGTGATGCTTTTATTCATTCATTTTATAAAAGTATATATGTGATAGTAGAATGTACAGATTATTAGTAATTTCCAACCACTGACAACTATTTTTATATTAAAATCTCCGAGCCTAAAGGGGAATTAGATAATTCTCAGACTGCATATGTGTCAAAATATCCCTGAAATATCCAAACATTCCAAATCACTCCACGTAGATAGAAGTTATACTACAGTTCATTTTGAAAACACGCTCAGTTCCTGCATCTGCTGTATAGAAATAGTTTTTAGCACATAGAACAAATACGAATTTCACAAGTTCAGTTAAATAAAATCAAACATTTATTAAAGGCAAGAATTAAAGTACCAAGATTTGAAACTGGCTAAAATGATCGAAAACTGCGCTTAGATTTGCTAAATAAAAACAATTGTATACACATTGAACCACAGAACTATGGAACATAATATATATGTAATAATATACAACAAATACACAGTGTAGCAAAGTCACAATTACATTTATTGTAAAATCAAGTTACATTGTTTAATTTCTATTTATCTATATATTTTATACACGAGGAACATTAGGTCCTGATTCTGAAACCAAAGTGTGCATTACGAATATTTGTGGTTCGCGAGAAACTTGTCAGCTTCAGCTGTATTAACACTGTGGAGACGGTGGGCTGTGACTATGATATATATCTCATAATACCCTTTGCATATGTAATATATATATATATATAGTACACTTGTATATGCATATTCCATTATGTCATATTTTTTGCATGTTTTGCATTGAGCTTGATTTTCTGAAAGAGTATGAGAGAGAATTTTCACTAAAAAAAAAAAAAAGAAAAGATTCACGTCAAAGAATAAAAGCAAATTCCACTTTCATAATTTATTAAGTGAAGATTCTCAATCCCTTTAGTAAATAAGCACTCGCTGTGTTACCATAATGAAAACTGTTTTTTTTGTATTAATGAAATTCAGTGTTAGAAATAAATCGGATAATTTTTAGATTTATGCTAAGTGTATAGGAATAGATTATAATTATAATCTTTTCTTTGGGGAAATGTAATAAAGTGTCTTTAAATCTGGTTACATGGTCAGTCATTAGTGCTGCTTTAGGGAATTTTGGAAATAAATCATTGCAGCTCCCCTATTCATTCTTCTGTGTTCTGCTATAACTTTGCACCGTCTAATATTTCCTTGTGAGCTGTGACCACACTGGATTATTGGCAAGTGTCACCCTGTGGAGCTGGGATTGGACCCATCCTGACCCTCATCTCCTGCACACACATGCTGCGACCTGAAATATGAGACACCTGGAGCCGATTCGTCGCATCCCCATGGATGGAGCGTGACCTGCAGAATTACGGACACACTTGAACTGGTGAACCCATGTGCAATGCTTGCTTCTAAACCACTTCAAATTGTGTAATATTAAATACGATTAAATATTATAAAATGATACTGTATATTTATAATAAATGCTTTAATCCAAGTTGAGTCTCCCATTTCCGGCAATACCTTCATTTACTCATCCTTTTCTTCTTCACTAGAAAGAAGTTAATCCACCCCGATCCCCTAGCATAAAATCTTCACTTTTACCATCTTCACCTCCCTGATCTCTGGCTCGGTACATCCCTCCAGACTTTGCAGTTCAGCTATTTCCATCTACAATTTATTTTCTATCTTACTGACACCCTGGCAGGGCTTTAAATTCTGGTAGCGGTGTAAAAGCAGCATGCACCCTCTTTTCCTATTGGGAATAGAGGAGAACCTGGACCTGGATGGACAGGTGTGCAGGAACCTCTGTGGAGGAGATGTGGGGGGTTGCCTTGGGATCATGGAGGTGCACTAATGGGTGCTGTCCTGGATTACTGTCATAATCAAGGGGAATAACATACCTACAGAGATATAAGATATTTGGCCAGGATTTATTTCACTAAGGTCGTTTTTTAATAGACATATTACTCTCATTTTCCCCCTTCTCCCTCCCCCATTTGCTTTCCTTCTTTCCTTTTTTTAATCATTCTTTGGGCCTGTTTGTGAAGTGGCCTGAACTTGTGTTCATTGCCACATCCAGTCATAGTACAGAGGAAATCCATATTAAAAGTGTATTTCCTCTTTTGCAGCCAAATTGGGATAGCACCTATATATTTGTTACATGTTCCCATTCACATTACATAGGCTCAAAATAAAAATTAAAAATAAATAAAATGCTTCTTGCAGTTTAAATTGCATTTATTTTGGTTAGGGTTTATTGGCTTCTTAAGGGTTAAAATATCTTCTTTTCCCCCCCCTTTTGTAATACTAGGAGGGGTTGAGGGGGTTGAGGGGTTTCTCACTACATGGTAATAAAGTTAATGAGAGAAACACAAAACCTCAAATTTTAGTCCTAAGTCTTTCTATAAGGGCAGATCACTGTGTAGGTAAAAGGTAAGAAATATACATATTTTCAAAATACTTTTTGATATGCTGTGTTAATAGGAACACATAACAAGCATACAATGAGGTTTTCTCAAATTTGACTGCAAATGTGGAAATACACTTTAAATTCTGCAGGTGATTGGATGTTCCCTCACTTCACACTTTAATAAATCAGTCCCTCTGGATTTATTTCCTCCTTCCCCAGCTCTTCCCTCACCTCCTCATATTGTTGTTCTCTAGGGTTGAGTGAATCTGCCTGGGTTCAATTTGCTAAGGGTTTGGTAAATCTAGTTTGAAATTCTGCAATCCTGGAATAAGCAGCAAATCCTGCAAAAGTCTATATGGGTTGAATCTCCTGCGATTAAATTCTGGCCATTTTTAGGGCTAAAATGTAAACTACTGTCCAGAAAAGGCATGGGAAGATGGGCACGTTCATGTACACTACCAATACAAAAAAAAAGAGATGCCGCTTTGAGGACAATATTGAAAATACACAGATCATTTATATAGCATGGTTGGGATGTCTTAAAGTTGTATGTGGTGTTACGTAACAGTATGGTTTTAATGGGCAGTCACAGTGACAGCATACATTGATAGTTTATTGTTTTTTTTCTCCTTTTACAGCTAGCTTGGTTTACACACAGCAGCAGTGTCCCAATCTGATTTACTAAAGTTTGAAAAAAACTTTTTTTTCATGTAGATTTAACAACAATACATGCTTTTTCATCAAGATGCAATAGATCTGTTTTTACCAGCAGATAAAGGTTGGCCAGTAGTTGTACTCTCTGATGAATAACTTTCCATAAGCTGGCCAATTTCTATCAAACTCCTATTAAGAATTAAGAGATCGCAGATAATACAACAGTACAAAATTGGCCAGCAATAGGTCCTTTAATGAGGGAGAATTGTCCAAAATGTACTAAAGAAAAAGCGTACAGGAAGGCTTCTTATTACAATAATTAAGAGACCACAGATGGCACAGCAGTAGAACATTATTAAATGGCAAAGCTAGTACAAATTTTTTAAAGGCAAGAATCACAGGCTGGGGCACTACTACAAGAAAGAAAGCTGAACTCCAGGCATATATAGAAAAAACATGAATTAATTCAGCTGTTTAAAGTGGACCTTTACCCATATCTTTAACCACTTCCAGGCTGGCCACTGTAAATAAACGGTCGGCTGGGAGCTTCTTAAATGTGAGCGGGCGTTTTTAAATGTCCTCACCCTTGCTGCTCGTGCTCACCGCTGAGCGGCGTCTTATGAGCGGGAAAACTGCTTAAATTTTAAACAGCCAGTGTTCTGTAGGAACGCCCGATCGTTTGTATTATGCGTGCGCCTCGCGCCCGGGACCGGCACTGCACCACTGTCACCGGAGATCAGAGGGAATTAATCACACAATCTCCTTCTGATCTCTCCTCCTTTCTCTGAATGCAGGAAGTGATGTATATTACATCACTTCCACATTCAGCTGTCATTCTCCGACTTCTGAAGATAACAAAAAGGGGAGGGGTAGAGAAGCGCCACCATCCTAGCGTGGATCAGCAGGGAAGTGTATGGAGATTCAAAGGAAGTTCTTGGTGTTATACTCACATCTGAATGAGTTAGTTAAGGCTTCAGAAGGAAGATTTCAGGAAGGTGGTGCTGTGTGGTGGAGTGTCAGCACTTCCGATCGGACATCTGGGGTGTCAGCGTGTGCGCAGAAATGAATGAAAAGGTGGCTGAGCATTATGAGTGCGGATATCTAGCAGGTGAAAATACATAAACTTACCATTAAGTAAGTAATGCTGTGACATTAGCGCAAAGGTCCTTGGATGACATGATGTGAAGATCCTGAGCAAGATGGGTGATGGATAGTCTGCTTGATCAATTTTATGATGGTGGTTCAGTTGGAGGTGAACTTTCACATTCTCCGACTTCTGTAGCTGAAGAGAAGCTGGTGAAGCAGCTCTCTGCTTCCTCAGCTTCTTTGGATGTCTTTGGAAATCCTTAGGTAACATTAGGGGTCTTAGAGACCCTTGATGTCTCCATAAAGAGGACCATTCTGTGTAAATTGGCTATCACATAGGGGACTTCTCATCCCCCTATGTGATAGCAATAAAGTTAAGTGGAAAAAAAACCAAAAAAAAAAACACAAACATTTTTTTTAAGTCCCCCGCCAGCACATACACACAAACACACACACCACACAATCATATGTCGGGTGCACCTACATGCAAAAATGGCGATTGCGCCCATTGCGGCGCATATATATTACATATCACCACGAACGTCACAGTGAGAGCAATACCGTATTTGCCGGCGTATAAGACGGGTTTTTAAACTTAAAAACATCCCCCAAAAATCGGGGGTCGTCTTATACGCCAGGTATGGATGTACATAGTACAAATCTTCCGAGTTCTGTCAGTATACTGCGCTGAGCCAATCACGGCAGGCTTTGTATTCATGAATACAAAGCCTGTATTCATGAATACAAAGCCTGCTGTGATTGGCTCAGCGCGGTATACTGATGGAACCCAGAAGACGGAGGACACAGCGGGGATCGCGGACAAGGTAAGAGACTGTAATCCCGAGTTTGGCTCGGGGTTACCGCTTATGGTACTGAAAATTAACCCCGCGCCACACTCGGGAATACCGCCATGGAGGTTAGTGTGTGTATTCCAACATTATTTTGGGCTATACTCGTCTTATACGACGAGTATAGCCCAAAACCTATATTTTAACATAAAAAGTAGGGGGTCGTCTTATACGCCCAGTCGCCTTATACGGTGGCAAATACGGTAATTCTAGGGCCATCAATCACTGATAACACTAAACTGATGAGCGCTGAAAGCTTTTAAAGCATCGCATATGGCCAATTTTGGCTATGGTATTTGTTTGCAATTTCACAGCCGCATGCAATTTTGAAACTTTACATGTTTGGTGTCTATTTACCCGATGTGACCCCATCTTTTATATTTTGTCAAAAATGTGGGTGCTAATAAATGTTTTTTAACATATTGTAGGGAAAACTTTCCCCCCCCCCAAATTTTCAATACTTCATTCATTATGTAGTAGAAAATAAAAACCCCAGTGGTGATTAAATACCACCAAAAGAAAGCTCTATGTGTCCCCCAAAAATGGTATAAATTCATTTCAGTACAGCATTGCATGGCAGAATAAATGTCAGTCAAAGTACCACAGCGTTAAATACTGCAAAATGGCCTGGCCAGGAAGGGGGTCTAAACACTTGGGGGTCTATTCACTAAGCTGCCGTAGGCAGCCGAGTGATTAACTGACCCGAAGCGAAGTGAGCTGAACGCTGTTCGGCTATTCACTTCAGGCTTGTACGGCTGATTCCAGCCATATTCAGCCGATTCAGTCGATAGGCTGAAATCAGCCGTACATCCAGTGGTGTATTTAGGTTTGGGGCTGCCCTAGGCAAGACAAAACTCGGGCGCCCCCCCCCCACCTGGCTGTGGTCTCAGGTGGGCTCTGCGGTAAGCGGAGCGGCATTTGGCACGGCTATTTTGCTCGGTACCTCTGTGGTACCAAGCAGAATAGAAAAACAGTTAAAGAAGTAGAAAAAATTAAATAGAAAATGATTGGGCGGAGCTAGCAGTGACAGCTGTTTTCTGTTGGCCAGGCAGTGCTGCTGTCGCCAGAATAAAATAAAAAAAACACCATAGGAATGCATAGCTACATTCCTATTGGCTATTTCAATTTGCAATAGCCAATAGCAAACTACCTATTGCACCCGCCCTCTGCTGCTGTCAATCACTAGAGGGGACCTGATTGAGAACTTCAGGTCCCCTCTGCCGATTGGCAGCAGCAGTGGGCGGGTGCAATAGCTAGTTTGCTATTGGCTATTGCAAATTGAAATACCCAATAGGAATGTAGCTATGCATTCCTATGGTGTTTTTTTCCTTCTTATTCTGAAGGCAGCCAACGGCTCCGATGTCAGATGAAAAAAAAAAAGACAACAGAGCAGGGAAAAGTTTACTCTGCTCGATTGAGCAGAGTAAAACTTTCCCAGAGAAAGTGTTTCTCTCCCGGGCGGCCGGTAGTCGCTATCCAATAGCGGGAGACTCTCGGAGCGTCTGGGAGAGTTGGGCTGTCTGGAGATCAGTGTCCCTGGTTACCTGGCACCCCTGCATTTCTGTCAGATAATGCACCACTTTGCGCAGAAGATTGTTGCAATTACAAATGTTTAGGCATTCTCATGATTATTTATTTTGTTTGTATCGGTATGACACAAAATTAACAGCTTTTTGACTAAACAAAATTGAAGCTTTTTGGTAAAGCTCATCATTCTACTGTTTTCAGAAAAAGAAATGAGGCCTTTAAAGAAAAAAATACAGTCCATACAGTCAAACATGGTGGAGGTTCACTGATGTTTTGGGGTTGCTTTGCTGCTTCAGGCACTGGATGTCTTGACTGTGTGCATGGCATTATGAAATCTGAAGTCTACCAAAGAATTCTGGAGTGCAATGTAGGGCTCAGTGTCAGAAAGTTAGGTCTCCGCCAGAGGTCATGGACAATGACCAGCAGGACAATGACCCAAAACACACGTCAAAAAGCACCCAGAAATGGTTTCAGACAAAGCGCTGGACAGTACTCGGCTGGCCAGCAATGAGTCCAGATCTGAACCCCATAGAGCACCTGTGGAGAGATCTCAAAACAGCAGTTGGGAAAAGGAACCATTCTAATCTGAGAGACCTGGAGCAGTTGGCGAAAGATAATCTAAAATTCCTGTAGAGAGGTGTAAGAAACTCATTGACGGTTACAGGAAGCGATTGATTGATACAGGAAGGAAACATTCTTCAAAAGCTCTCCTAAAGTAAAATGCATAGGTTTAATTTGAGCTTTAACTTTCCACTATATCACATAAAAGTTGCACTAATTTAATATTATTTAAGCAGACTTTATTGACTATATTTTGAGGTACATATATATGGGGGTGCGCAACTTACATAACCATTGCGTTGGACAATTTTGTTTCTTATTTTTTCCTATTTATTCCCAATAAAAACCAAGGAGATAAAAATATGTGTAGCCAAATTTGCTGTTAAATTGAAGCCCTATGAAATGATGTATAATATGTTATGGTAGTCTACAAAACCTATGGGATACAATGTACGGAACTGAGACATCACCAAAACTACCAAAAAAAAATATTTTGGGATTTAGGGAGAAAAAGGAATGGGGACTCAAGTGGTTAAATAAATAATTTCTTCTTTCCCTATATATATATAATGCCCCCATATTATATATATCTTATATCACATAGTAGATTGCACTCACAATCATTATGGAATGTGACCTCGTTTCTCTAAGACTATATTGTCTGCTCCAGAATCCAGGGGTGGATCCTATAATCAGTAAATGTAGTTGTATAACCCATGGAAAAAAAAAACATCTGGGCGCATAATTCAATTTATACTCTCATTCGTGCTGTGTAATGCTTCACAATTGTTTATTTACATGAGGTCTAAATGCGGAAACCACGAGTACAGACTTATTTAATAATGCAAGCAGCTGTATGCAAGTGCTGCAACCCACAACAACCAATCAGCAACTACTTCTTCTTCCAGTTTTCCAGACAAAAGAAAGGTGAATGTGATTTGTTGCTTTGATATGCTGCATCTTGCACTCCGTCATTGCTCTTTTCCTAATTATCCTTTACATTATTTCGGACCGACTGGTCAGTTCAAGCACCATATTCTTATCATTCTAGCAACATACACAAACTACAATATATGTGGGACTTTTAGGGTGCCAAACACAAACAAATATATTCAAATAATATTGTGAAAAACAACCATTAAAATTAATTACAATTAACCATTAAAATGAATTACGTCATATAAAATAAACTTATTAATTCATCTTCTGGATTCCGCCAGGGCGTGTTTTGCAGCTATGTGTTAACAACCTAACCTGCCATTGTTAGCAATGTGATTCCACAGAGCGAATGAAATTAGACCAATGGAGGATTTAATTGCTTAGGGCCCTTTTTTCCTTTGACCCTTCCCCCCCTCATCCCTACCACCCCTTAGTTCCATCATGGGATGTTATCCAGGATTTCCATTTCTTCCTCCTCATTTTCTTTTTCTCATGCTCCTCCTTCTTTCTGCCATCTTGGCTCTTCCATCTTTTCCCTTTACCACCCCCCTGCCGCTTTTCTCTTTCTCTAGAATGGAGATTATCATCTTTTTTTTTTGCCTTTCTTCGTGATAAATAAGCAATTTTCCTTTTGTTGGTATGCATGTACAGGCATATTACTTTGTAAACTTGAACATGGTCTTGTGGTCTTGTTATACTTACATTGGTTTCTCCTGCGCTTCCTAAATAAAGAATAAAAAAGTATAATAAATCAATCACTATTTATGATGATGTTGGACGGTGGAAGAATTTACAAGGTTTTTGTGTTTTTTCTCCATCATTGGGATAATGCATCGATGTAAAATGTGTGCAGTAAAAAAAGGGAACGATTGTTGAGTAATTTCTGCCAAAAATTCTGGAAAATCACTGCGTATGATTACAGGCACAGAGATTATCTCATTAGCAAAAAAGCATCAATGTACATACAGTATTTCAGCTGTGTATTTAGCTGCTTGCCTGCAGTACAACTTCAAGAGCTGAAAATCTTAAGTTTTCATTAATGTTTTATCACTGGAAACATTTTGTTTCACCACCTGATATGGCTCATTTCCATGCACTTCTCTGTAGACACCTCACTGGAACTCTTCCTGTCTTCCTCTATAGACACCTCACTGGAACTCTTCCTGGCCTCCTCTATAGACATCTCACTGGAACTCTTCATGCCTTTCTTTATAGACACCTCACTGGAACTCTTCCTGTACTCATCAAAGACACCTCACTGTAGCCTTTTCTGCCCTCCTCTATAGAAACCTCAGTGTTGCTCTTCCTGTACTTCTATATAGACACCTCACTTTAGCTCTTTCCCGAAGCTAGTTGTAATTTAATGAGTGATAATCTCTGTGAATTGACTTTTATG